AACTTTACATTTCCATAGAAACGCTTAAATCAATATTTTTGATGAAACCTTCAGACAATATAGCAAAAATGTTACAGCCTTCGGTCACTTGTTACGATGTATAAAATCAAACATAATTTCTTTAATTTTAAGGCATTATTATTATAAAAATAGGAAAAATTATGACTGAAAAATAATGTACATTATTATAAATATTACTTTGACCTTTCTTCGGTTAGGTTATGTTAATAATATTCTGAGATCTCTATTTTTCATTATAATACCCTCAAAGTTACTTAGTAGAGTTATATGAACACTAACCCAGTTTCAATAATCTAAGTCTTTTTACTCTGTAGACGTTTGTCTTAATTTTAAATATGTTATTATTATATTTATATTGAATTTAAAAATATTTTGTTTATTACAGGAGCAAGCAAGAGCAGATTCAATGGATTATTCAACTGACGAATCAGATTGTATTGTGTATGATGTAAGTATTAACTTATACCTATATCAGAATTATAGTAGATAAAGAAAACTTAAAAACAATAAATTTAAGATAACGCCTTAATTTTTTTATATGTTTACATTGTGACCGAAAAGTTTTCGGAAATTCTCATTTAAAATTCGCGCGCTGTATATTTTTCGATATTTTAAGTTTATGTAGTTTGGCAGCACTGTCCTTAATTACTATGCCAAAAATGAGCGCTATCTGTCGGACAGTTCGTTTACGGCAGCTGTTGAAACCAGTTCACCTCAGTAGTGCGTTGCGAAAAAAACAATGGAAAAAAATATTGAACAAAGAGTTTGCATCAAATTTTGTTTTTCGAACGAAATTTCGTGTGCAGAATCGTTGCGAATGCTACAAAAGGCTTATGGGGAATCAGTTTTATCGAAAACTCAAGTTTATGAGTGGTACAAAGCCTTTCAGGACTGTCGTACGACCGTCGAAGACATGCCGCGTTCTGGACGACCTTCGACCTCTACCACCGACGAAAACATTGAAAAGGCAAAGGAAATCGTGTTCAAAAATCCTCATGTGAGTGTTAGAGAGATAGCACGAGAGCTAGGCATCGGTCGTGAGATGGCTCGTTTGATTTTGGTGGACAATTTGTGTATGCGACGTGTCAACGCCCGGCTTGTTCCGATTCACCTCAATTTGTTCAACATTATCAACGATTTTAAGGCCAAACATTCAATAAATACCATCGAACAGCCACCGTATTCACCTGATCTTGCACCGTGTGACTTTTTCCTGTTTCCCAACCTCAAATTACCACTCAGAGGAACGCGTTTTGAATCCATAGAAGACGTAAAACAGAATTCGCAGAGGGAACTCAAAGCCATACCGGAAAGCGCCTATAAATGTTTTGATGATTGGAAGACAACGTTGGCATTTGTGTATACGCTTTCTAATGGAGCATATTTTTGAAGGAGATTAAAATAAATATTGATGAAGATTAAGAATTTTGCGTTTTATTTAAAATTTCCCGAAAACTTTTCGGTCACAATGTATATTAATGCAAACAAAAATATTTGCATTTTATAATTGTTGAATACAAACTTTCATCAAAAAATTTATCTCTATCACTTCTTATAAAAACTATTTAACAATTAAAATTTTCTATTTTATTTAAAGGACCCAGATTATACTACAGACGTAGAAGACGTAAGCAGATTGAATTGGTCTGCTGAGCTGATGGTAATTTTTTGAAATATAAATCTTATTATTACGTAAATGTGTCGCAAACTTTAATTCAGAATTAATGAAAACTAATTTTTAGAATGAAAAATTGCGAAGAAAACCAGAGTTACGAAAAGGGATGGGACCTGAACGTCCTCCTCAACCTGCACCTTGTTCTCCAGGGGTAATGACTATTGCTATAATTTGCAAATATGATCGGAACTTGCAATATTAAAATACTTGTTATAATAAAAAATTATTTTTTAGGCACAAGAACGAAAAGACCGGGAAGATCGGGAGTACGTAGTACGTATGAAAGAGCACTAGTGCTTTAGTATTATTTGAATTTAATATTCTAAAGAGCTGCAGTGAATTAATCGAACCTTAATTGCACAAAAATATACATTCTGTCAAAAATGTTTTCGGGTTTGTTATATGATGAAGAAATGTAATATTCATTTGTTATATTTATTTATTCTCCGTTCAATCTAATTGCTATTTAAAGCGTAGTATTTCTTATTAATTTAAAATATTTATTATCTGCGCTATATGATATTCGTTTAACTTCCTTACATGAATTTGTGACTTTCGTGGAATTATAGTGATACTTTGGAAAAATTATTTTTGTTCAGAAGTTTTATGGCTTCAATTCTTAGTACTATATTCTTTACAGCAGTTGATTAATGATTGGTGCATTATCATAATATCAAATTATTTTTTTGTACAAGTCTAACAGTCCCTGAAAGACTTTCTATTAAAACCCATCCAAAAACAAGGAATACATTAGTATCATCAATTTTACATTTTCGTTTGTTTAAAATATTATATTTAGTTATAGTTGCCACATGACGTCTTAAAAATAAATACGGTTGCAGAAGTTCTTCACTCTAATAATGCATTACATCACGTCCAATTATATTTTATAGAACACCGACGGGGTCTCTAAGTTTTCGCCAACACAAATACCCGAAAGGTGCTAAATATAATAATGTCTTTAATTTTATGTTTCTCTGACGAATATATTAGATATCGACTTTTGTAGAACGATTTTAAAATAAGAAACACATACAAAACTGAAACATCATAATCAAAAATTACCGAGCATTAGCTCGTGGCCTATGTTTTTTTTTTGTTTCGATACTGAACTTAAAGGAAAAATCTTCTAAAGATACAAATAGCCTGTACCATTTGCATGCCCGATTCATGCACGACTCATTGAGTCATGCATGTCTTCGGACTAAAAGGTCCCTACATTCTCAGCTCAAAATCGTAGAAATCTCTATAGTACGACCAGTTAAGGTATTTCTCCCCTGTGTAGGGCTATAGGGATGTACGTTAAGTATACCTATATTATAGGCTAATATATGCTATTTCTTGCACAGATAAAATCCAGTTTTGATTTGAAATCCCTAAAGAATAATCGATTAATGCGATTTGAATCTGATGTTTCAAATTTGAAATTCTTTGTTAATTTTTGACAGAATGTATAAACATTAAGGGTTTCGAGAAAATATATATGAAAGTAAGTGCAGTGTTAAAAATAATGATAAAAAGTTATAGTCATTATACAGTATTTAACTAGAAATACATTAAATAAAATAGTATTTTTATTGTTTTTAAAAGCTTGAAATATTTTTTAGGCGAAATGTATGTTTGGAGTTAAAGAAGTAGAAAACATACAAAATCTGAATTTATCGGTAATGTATTAATATTTTTCATATTTTTACTACATAAGTCCTACCATCTATTCAATACGAGTAAAATAATGTTAAAATCAGCAGTTCTAAAATTTTAATGATATTAATAAAGAGGATGAATGATGCATCAATTTTTATTTTATTAATTAAAAATTTGGAAAGTAAATTTGGGTATAAAAGATGGTATTTTCTTAAAATATATATATAATTATTATTATTCTATCATTGTTATTGTTCGTTCATCGCACATAATACGATTTCTTTATTTCATAGAGTTCACCACAAAGACCACAGGAAGAGGATGTAATATCATGTTCACTTATTTCTAAGCAATTTGTTTAATATGTATAAATTATTTTACAGTTACCGTGGGGTTTAACTAGTAGAGCTGAGGTAATTGCACATTTTTTAAAAAATTTTCATATATTAATTAAGATATTTACTTATAGAGAGTATGTGGTAGAAAAGGATCCAACAAGCGAGTGTTTAATGTACCAAGGGTGAGTTCATAATATTTATGTATCATTTTTTAAAACACAAATTATGAGCCCAATTAATATTACTATTATTATTATTATGAGCCTAATAATATATAAAAGAGTAATTGAAAATAGCTTTCTTGCTTTCCAAAAAACAATATTTTATACACATTCTAATGGAGAGGTACAACCAATAGACATATTCACTAGAGACATGAGCAAAATATCGTTTTTTCTGCAGTTTGCTGTGATAGAAGTGCACAAAAAGTCATTAGACGCTATGTCAAGAACATACTGAGTGCATCACGGCTTCCTTTGCAATTTTTCTGTGATAGAAACAATTCGGGTTGTCATGGTAAGAAATTATTCTGCTTTGGCAGTTCCTAGAACAGTACCTATAAAGAAATAGTTTTTATCGTTTAGAATTGATTGTTTCATTTTGATTTAATAACACTGTTAGCTTATGACTAGTTGTTCTGGAAATGAAAGTGACTACTATATTTGTTTTTGATTCGAATGTAATAAACTGTCATTATATTTTCTTCATTATGAAAAGCGTACATATTCAAGGCATAAGTTCATAATTTATCTTCTCTGAAAATTTAAATATTTCAGTCTTTTTAAATGTTTGTCAAGTTTTTTGTGACTGAATAGTAATATATTATTATTTAAGTTAAGATTATTTGAATCGCAGTGTATTTCGCTAGAAAATCTCATTATTGCATTATCTGGTATCTTGTTTCTCAGCACAGCACATTTCAGAGGAACTCTACTAACTTCAGCCTTGAGTGAGTAGCATCCATGTACAAACTTACTATTCATGTGTCAGTGAGTTCATCGTAAAGAATCTTTGCACTAATAAACACAATAAAAAGAGTTATCTCTTTTTCTTTTACTGAGACAAAAGTCTCAAGTCACTGAAAACATACAGCATTGAAATGGCAAAATATTCTGAATAAGGAATTGTTCAAAAGTATTAAACTCTCCAGTGGAAAAGTTACTTCTAACCTAAAATCACTGAAGGTAATCAGTGCTCATAATATTAATAGTCAACTATATACTACGCCGTTATACTAAGAGATAATACAATACATATTAATTTTAATATATGTTATTGCTGAAATTTATATTTTTATTTCATTTGTTTTTTATAGCGCTGGAAATATCGGAGGGTAATAATATTTTTTTTTATTTACCTGAATTATTATTAACATAATCTTTAAAATATTTTTAGCCCCCTTCATCACCGGTAATGACAAATTTAAGTTACAAATTTTAAGTTACATATATTAAATCACATAATCTTTAAAATAATTTTTAGATGTGCGGAGTACCACTACCGGTAATAGAAACTTTCAATTAAAAATTATTTACAAAATCTCAAAAGCGTTTTTAAGGGCCGCGGACCAGCAGCTTCAACACCGGTAATGATAACTTTTAACCACATATATTATACCATCCATATACATAAGTGATCAAAATTAAGCAACTTTAAAACTTGAACACTACGTATATTATATATATTTTTAAAACGATATGACACAAAATGTAGAGCATTAACTTCATATCCCTATATGTGTTTGAACTAATTTCTGGAGTCAAGAAACAACACTTATTTTGTATGGGAGAGAGTACTATTCTCAAGATAATTTCTTAATCCCAGAAACTAAAAATAGATTGCATCGGAGAAAATTTGTAGTAAAAATTTTCATCATCTTTAATATCTCAAATGCAATTAATGACGACAGATTAGACCGTTCATTAATATTAGCTTTAGTAACCAATTCTATATAACCACAGAATAAGATCCAACAGATAGTAAATATGGAATAACAGACAAGCACACTCTGTAAAGTTAACAATATTAATAGAATTCAGACTATACAGTCTGACAGAAAACAACTTAACAGAATTCGTATGACTTGACAATCAGTTTTACAATGAGTAACTATTAATTATTAAAGATTAGCAAAAATATAAAGAAAAATTTTAGGTAAGAAGTTTTTCAAGTGGATCCTACTTATTTTTTTTACACATTAAAGAAAGGTAACAAGTGAGGCTTCCTAAGGAAAGAAAAACTGAAAAATTTTTATTTTATTTAATTTTCACAAAAATCAAAAATTCTCAAAAACACCAAAAATCAAAATATTTATACAAGTTCCAATGCATATAAAAGCGAATAATATAATTTTTATTATTTTACAGCAAGAATTTACATCACCTCCGGCAAGAAGCAGTGTATGTATTTTAATTAAAAACTAAAATTAAAATAAATAAAAAATTATAAATTAATACAAAATATCTAATATATAAAAATTTCTTAACTATATATATGAAATTTACCCAATTATAAAAATTTATTTTGAAGAAAACATCGCAGTTATAAATTAAATATATAAAGGTTGCTCTAATACGAAGTGTATTAATTTAACATTTCATATTAGTATCGTTCTATCTATATAAGCTTTTCATCCAAAATATTCTCGTTTTGTTGTATTTTTATGTTTTTCTCTTAAACGATCAATTTTCAAAGTCAGCTATTATTAAACAGCAACCATAGGTTAATATAATTATTAAAACAGTAAAACTTTTTATAGTATTCTTTTATATAAGATATTAATATTTATATATTAATATTTTAATATCTAACAGAAAATATATCACATTTTTAATTTATTTTTTTTAGGACCCATCACCATGTCCATCACCGGTAATAATATAATTCAATCACATATTATTTAGTTAAACTTTAAAATATTTTCCAAAAGTGCCCGCCATCGCCAGCATCACCGGTAATAATAAATTTTAATAACATAGTATTTTAATAATTTTTAAATTTTTTGTGAAGTGTCCATCAGCGGCTGCCGCACCGGTAATATCAAAATTTTAGTTATATATTAACTCAATAACCTTAAAAATTTTTTTCAAAAGTGTCCATCATCAGCTCAAGGAGCGGTAATAATATATCTCCATTACATGTTCTTTACATGATTTAAAAAAATTTTTTTTAGGTTGGTGGCCGACCACTTACATCACCGGTAATAATAATCCTTAATTATATAAATTTTATTTTACATAAATTTCAACAATTTTAATACATAATCGCTCCCTGCGTTAAATATTTCGTAAGTTATCATGTAATACAATTTACTATAAAATCTTTAATGCCGTCTAGGTTAGTTATTTTTTAAAATAATATATGTAATTGATTATTAATAACGAAA